ACGGGGTTTCACCATGTTGACCAGGATGGTCTTGATCTCTTGACCTCGTGATCCACCTGCCTCGGCCTCCCAAAGTGCTGAGATTACAGGCGTGAGCCACTGCGCCCGGCTTTTTTTTTTTTTTTTTATGGAACTGTTTCTCAGTGTGAAATGATTTTTAAATGTTGATTTTGCATCCTGCACTGGTACTGAATTCCTTTATCGTTGTACAGTTTCTTGAATCTTTTGGATTTTCCATATATAAGATTGTGTCGTCAGAAAATAGAAATAATCTCACTTCATTTCCAGTTCAGTTGCCTTTATTTCTTCGTCTTGCCTAACTGCTCTTGCTTGGACCTTCAGTACTATGTTGAAAAGAGAGGCTGGCCTCGGTGGCTCACGCCTGTAATCCGAACACGTTGGGTGGCCGGATCACCTGAGGTTGGGAGTTTCCAGGCTGACCAACATGGAGAAACCCTGTCTCTACTAAAACAAAAAACAAAACAAAACAAAAACAAAAACAAAATTAACTGGCGTGGTGGTGCATGGCTGTAATCTCAGCTAGTTGGGAGGCTGAGGCAGTAGAATCGCTTGAAGCTGGGAGGTGGAGGTTGTGGTGAGGTGAGATCACGCCACTGCACACCAGCTTGGGCAACAAGAGGAAAACTCCGTCTCAAACAACAACAAAAAAAAAAAAAAAAGAAAGAAAAAGGAGGCCGGGCAGAGTGGCTCACGCCTGTAATCCCAGCACTCTGAGAGGCCAAGGTGGGCGGATCATTTGAAGTCAGGAGTTTGGGACCAGCCTAGCCAACATGGGGAAACGCCCTCTCTCCTAAAAATATAAAAATTAGCCAGACATGATGGCAGCCGCCTGCAATCCCAGCTCCTCTGGAGGCTGAGGCAGGAGAATTGCTTGAACCCAGGATGTGGTTAGCCAAGATCTCCAAGATCGCGCCATTGCACTCCAACCTGGGAGACAGAAGCGAAGCTTTGTTTCAAAAAAAAAGAAAAAAGAGGCCGAGGGTGGTGGCTCCCGCCTGTTATCCCAGCACTTTGGGAGGCCAAAGTAGGCAGATACAAAATACAAAGGTATTAGCTGGACGTGGTGTCGGGTGCCTATAATCCCAGCTACTCAGGAGGCTGAGGCAGCAGAATTGCTTCAATCCAGGAGGCAGAGGTTGCAGTGAGCCAAGATTGCGCCACTGCACTCTAGCCTGGGTGACAAGAGCAAAATTCTGTCTCAAAAAAAGAAAAGAGTGCAAGGCGCGGTGGCTCATGCCTGTAATCCCAGCACATTGGGAAGCAGAGGTGGGTGGATCATAAGGTCAAGAGTTCGAGACCCGCCTGGCCAACATGGTGAAACCCATCTCTACTAAAAATACAAAAATTAGCTGTGCATAGTGGTGGGCGCCTATAATCCCAGCTACTCGGGAGGTTGAGGCAGGAGAATCACTTGAGCCTGGGTGGCGGAGGCTGCAGTGAGCCAAGACTGTGCCACTGCACTCTAGCCTGGGTGACAGAGCGAGACTCTGACTCAAAGAAAAGAAAAGAGGAGTGAGTCCGCTATTCTTCTTTTTCAAGACTGTTTTGGCTTTCTAGCACCTCTTGCAATTCCGTATGAATTTGAGCATCTGCTTTTTTGTTTTTGTGGAAAAGGCTGTTTCCATTTTGAAAGGATTGCATTGAGTCTATAAATTGCTTTCAGTGGTATTGATACTTCACAAAGTTAAGTCTTCCCATCCTTCCTTAAAATTACACAATCATGTGTTGCTTACTGGCAAGGATACATCCTGAGAAATTCATCCTTGTGTGAACATCCTAGAGTGCGCTACAAAAACCTAGGTGGTCTTAGCCTACGATATACTTAGTCTCTGGCAGAGCCTGTGCTCCCAGGATACAAACCTGTACAGCATGTTACTGTACTAAATACTGTAGGCAACTGTAGCACAGCATAAGTGTTTATATACATAAACACGTGTAACCCTAGGAAAGATACGTGTCAAGGCAGTGGCTCACACCTGTAATCCCTGCACTTTAAGAGGCCGAGGCAGGTGGACCAGTTGAGGTCAGGAGTTTGAGACCAACCTGGCCAATGTGGTGAAACCCCATCTCTACTAAAAATACTACTAAAAAAAAAAAATTAGCCAGGCATGGTGGTGAGAGCCTGTAACCCCAACTGCTTGGGAGGGTGAGGATGAGTGCTTGAACCTGGGAGATGGAGGTTGTAGTGAGCCGAGGTCACGGCACTGCGTGGGTGACAGAGTGAGACTCCATTCCCTCCCCACTCCCAAAAAAAAAGAAAAGGTAGAGTAAAATTCAATATAAGAGATAACAAATGGGACATGTAGGGCACCTACCATGAATGGAGCAAGCCTGCAGGGCTGGCGGTTGCTCTGGGTAAGTCGGTGGGTGAGTGGTAAAAAAAAATACAAAGGCTTGGTTATTGCTGCACCCTACTCCCTTTTTCTTTCTTTTTTTTGTGACAGAGTCTCACTGTGTCACCCAGGCTGGAGTGCAATGGTACAGCCTCCACTCACTACAACCTCTGCCTCCCAGGTTCAAGCAGTTTTTGTGCTTCAGTCTCCCGAGTAGCTGGGATTACAGATGCACACCACCCTACCCAGCTAATTTTTTTATTTTTGATAGAGATGGGGTTTCACCATGTTGTCTGGGTGGGTCTCCAACTCCCAGCCTCAAGTGATCTGCTTGCCTCCGCCTCCCAAAGTGCTGAGGTTACAGGTGTGAGCCACTGCGTCTGGCCGAATTTTTTCTACTTTCAATAGAGGTGGGGTTTCTCCATGTTGGTCAGGCTGGTCTCAAACACCCAACCTCAGGTGATCCGCCTGCCTTGGCCTCCCAAAGTGCTTGCTGGGGTTACAGGCATGAGCCACTGACCCTGCCCAGGTCTTTTTTTTTTTTTTTTTTTTTTTTGAGATGGAGTCTTGCTCTGTAGCCCAGGCTGGCGTGTAGCGGTGTCATCTCGGCTCACTGAACTTCCACCTCCTGGGTTCAAGTGATTCTCCTGCCTCGGCCCTCCAAGTAGCTGGGATTATAGATGTGCACCACCATGTGTGGCTAATTTTTGTATTTTTAATAGAGATGGGGTTTCACCTGGTTGGCCAGGCTAGTCTTGAACTCCTGACTTTGTGATCCGCCTGCCTCAGCCTCCCAAAGTGTTGGGATTACAGGCATGAGCCACAGCGCCCAGCCAAGTCTCTTAAATGTAAGGACGTTAACCTGTGAGGCTAGATGTCATGGAGTGTAGGGTTGGAAATGTTAAGACAGGAAAGAAGGCTATAGGCAGTGTGATATGTACCTAGGACTAAGACTGCTCACATGGCCAAATGGCACTGAGCCTTCCCTGTTACCATCACACTGCCAGGCTCAGCACCCCTCTTCTCAAGCCCAGAGCGAAGGAGTGGACCCTGGCTGTCCTATTCAGAACCCACAACAGGTGACAATAGAAGTATCCCCATAGTGGGTTCCTCAGGAACCTGCCGGGTGTGGTAGCTCACCCCTGTAATCCTAGCTCTTTGGGAACCCAGACAGGAGGGTCACTTGAGACCAGGAGTTTGAGACCAGCCTGGGCAACATAGCAAGACCCTGTCTCTACAAAAATTTTTTTTTTTTTTTTTTGAGATGGAGTTTCGTTCTTGTTACCCAGGCTGGAGTGCAATGGCGCAATCTCGGCTCACCGCAGCCTCCGCCTCCTGGGTTCAGGCAATTCTCCTGCCTCAGCCTCCTGAGTAGCTGGGATTACAGGCACGCGCCACCATGCCCAGCTAATTTTTTTGTATTTTTAGTAGAAACGGGGTTTCACCATGTTGACCAGGATGGTCTCGATCTCTTGACCTCGTGATCCACCCGTCTCGGCCTCCCAAAGTGCTGGGATTACAGGCGTGAGCCACCGCGCCCGGCTTCAAAAATTTTAAAAAAAATATCCTATTGCGTCTACATATGAGAAAAAAAAAAAAATAGCTGGGTGCGGCAGCACAGGCCTGTAGTCTCAGCTACTCAGGAGGCTAAGGTGGGAGGATCACCTGAGCCCAGGAGGTAGAGGCTGCGGTGAACCATGATTGCACAACTGCACTCCAGCCTGGGTGACAGAGCAAGACACTGTCAAAAATAAAAAGGCAGGGCACAGACCTCACGCTGACTGCTCCAGCCACACTGGCCGCTGGCATACCCAAGCACATGCCAGGACACCCTGCCGCAGGGCCTCTGTACCTGCTGTTCCTCTCTGGAACAGTTGTCCCCAGATGGCTGGATGCCCTCACTTCCTTCTGCTCTCTGGCTTATAGTTGACACTGAATAAATACTGGTCAAATGCATGCTAAGTTGTGTCATCCTGGGATGTTACTCAACCTCTGTGTCTCAGTGAGCCTCAAGTGCAAAACAAGGACAACAGCAGCCTTGTATTCACTGAGATGAGACCCACCCATCATGGTGGTGGATTCCAAACACTCATCATGATGACACTTGGGTTGCAAAATCAGGACCAGCCTGAGCTTCCAACGCTGGACTGCCTGAACATTACCTGATTCATGGCCGGGATCTTGTCCCATTGGTTCTTTGTCGGGTTGTACACGTCCACCTCGGCGGAGTCATCCCTGCAGAGGGGGCAGTGGAAGGACAACTGCTCAGAGCGAGGAGGAAACGCCCTCAGGTGCACAGGGCTGGAGCGGAATCTCCCCGAGTCACTGACTTCCCCAGTGATCTGGATCTTTCTGATGCCATCCAGCAGCTCCCTTTCCAGGTGGACTCCATCCCCAGCTCTTAGGGGCCAATTTTAGCCCCCTGTGCCCACCCAGCCAGGGCACCAGGGCTGGAACCCTTGCTCCCAAACTTGAAGATCAGGATTTTGAGGACCTGAAGCACCTTCAATGCCTCCCCATCACTCTGCACCAAGGTGGCTGTCCCCCTAGTATCAAGGCTACAGGAGCTCCCTTTAGATCTTAAAACAGGTTCCTGGCTTCACTGTGCATCCCCACATGCCCTGGAGCATTCCTTGCCACTGTCCCCAGTATCACTGGGAGCCCCCAACCCTGCCCTGTTCACTATGATGTTGAAGTGCCCCTCACTTTGGGATCAAGACCCCTTCAACTTCATTTGACAACCTTCTTTTTTCCACAGAAAAAGGCTCAAAGGCACAGCCTTGAAAAGCAAAAAAGATACAGGCCAGGCACTGTGGCTCACGTCTATAATTCCAGTGCTTTGGGAGGCTGAGGCAGGTGGAGTGCCTTAAGTCAGAAGTTAGAGACCAGCATGGCCAATATGGTAAAACCCTGTCTCTACTAAAAATATAAAAATTAGCAGGGTGTGGCGGTACGTGCCTGTAAGACTAGCTGCCTGGGAGGCTGAGGCAAGAGAATCACTTGAACCTGGGAGGCAGAGATTGCAGCGAGCTGAGTGTACTACACTCTAGCCTGGGTGACAGACTGAGTGACACTCTGTCTCTTAAAAAAAAAAAAAAAAAAAGTGCCGGCTTTGTGGCTCACGCCCATAATCCCAACACTTTGTAAGGCCAGGGCAGGTGAATCACCTGAGGCTGGGAGTTAGAGACCAGCCTGACCAAAATGGAGAAAATCCGTTCCTACTAAAAATACAATATTAGCTGGGCGTGGCGGCTCATGCCTGTAAAGAGAGGCTGAGGCAGGAGAATCACTTGAACCTGGGAGGCGGAGTTTGTAGTGAGCCAAGAATGCACCATTGCACTCCAGCCTGGGCAACAAGAGCAAAACTCCGTCTCAACAACAAAACAACAACAACAAAGTAACGCAAAGATACTACAAAACAAACAACAGTAGTTGTGGACCAGACACTCCAGTACAAAACCAGAAAACCAGCCCCAGATAATGCAGATAAGCAGCTGGCTGCATTCCAAGGAAACTTCATTCATGGACACTGACAGTTACATTCTGTGTAACTTGAAATGTTACTCTTGTCTTGATTTTTAGCCCCCATTTCAAAATGTCAAATCCACCCTCAGTTTGTGGGCCCTATGGGGGTGATGATGATCATTAAACACTGGAATCTGCTAGGCTGCCCTTTCTTTCCCCAGCAGAGACCTGCAAAACACAGCCTGGACGCTGGGCCGCACAGAGGTCGCCGGCATTCCCAGAGGGGGCTACTGGACCCCAGCCAAGGAGCCATCTTGTACCAGAACCAAGGAGAGGGAGGATCAGCTCATTCGTGGGTCACACAGACAACGGCCAAGGCTATGGCCTCCCCGAAGATGGCATGTACTAGACACAAGCTATTCAAAGACAGGTGGTGTTCTTGGGGGAGGGTTATGTGGCTCTTGAAGAGTCAAAGTGCACAGACAAGGTGGCACTGGGACAAATACCCCAAGAGGACCAGCCCCAAGCAGGGCCCCGGCAGGCCGAGCCTTCTCTTCCAGGCTCCAGCATCCTCTACTCAGGCTGAGCCTGGGCACCCCTCCTCTGGCACAGGCCACATTGGTAGAATGAACAGATGCAGCCTTTCCAGAGCACTGCCTCCTCCTACACGTGCAGGTGGCTTAGGAAACCCTGCTAAAGGCTAGAAGTGAACGGGGTGGGGGGTGCCAGACCCTTGTGCTTCCCTGTGGGAAGGTTAACTCAGCAGGCAGATCTCCCTGGGGCACATCATATCTTGCTCTAGGACAGATGGGGGAGGGGAGGAGGACTCTTAAAGGCACTGGGCCTGGAACCACTGCCTAGGAGCTGAAAAGAAGGTTCTAGCGCTCTGATAGGTTGTATTTATAGCCATCTCCACCCCCTCTTTGAAGACACCTTCACAACTTGGGGGAGGGAGAGCTGGGCAAAGGGTCAGACGATGTTTTATAATGGGACCAGAGCTGGCTCAGATTCCAGGGCTTTCTCAGAGCAAGACTGTTGGCCCCTGGCACGTGGAGGTGCCCAGCTACCTGCGTAACAATGCCACCCCTGTTCTTTTTGGTGCTCACCCCAAAAGCCTGGTAAGGATCCTCCTGTTTCGTGGGGTGGGGCAAAGGCCAAGGCTAAGGCCAATGCAGCTCTGGCAGTGAGAGGCACGGGGCCAAGGAGCAGGGAGCTCACATCCTCCAAGCTCCCTGTTCAAAGCCCCAGACCGAAAAGGCACAGTGGGGACTGTCATTCAGTTTTTCCCCTTCCCTCCTGGACCCAGAGCTTCAGGCAGACTCTAAGCTGGGAAGGAGCAACAAGGTGTGTGAAGACGCAGCGGAGTACAGCAGGCAGGGGCTGCCCTGTGCCATCATTGATGCCTACCAACCAGCTGGAGGCAGCATTTGGCTGTGACCAGACAGGTCATCAAGGCCAGTAGACACACGATGACCTGCAGGCTGCCTGTCTCTGCTCCACGCTGCCCAGACTACAGTCGGCTCTTCCCTCGAATAACCCAACTCCACCACCCTTAAAATCCTTTTATTAAGAAAATCTGGAGTTTTCCTTAAACTCAAAGGAATAGAACAAGCACTCTAGCTCAGAAAGACCTGGCCTGGCCAGATGTGGGGGCTCACGTCTGTAATCCCAACACTCTGGGAGGCAGGAAATGTGGGAGGATCATTTGAGGCCAGAATTTGAGACCAACCTGGGCAATATAGCGAGACCCTGTCTTCACAAAAAAATTAAAAATTAACCAGGTATGGTGGCACATGCCTGTGGTCCCAGCTACCTGGGAGGCTGGTGGAAGGATTGCTTGAGCCCAGGAGGTTGAAGCTGCAGTGGGCCATGACTGCACCACTGTACTCTAGCCTGGGTGACAGAGTGAGACTCCATTTCCAAAAAAAAAACAGCCCAGGAATGGTGGCTTATGCTGTAATCCCAGACTTTGGGAGGCCGATGCAGGTGGATGACATGAGGTCAGGAGTTCAAGGCCAGCCTGACCCACATGGTGAAACCCCATCTCTACTAAAAATACAAAAATTAGCTGGGCATGGTGGTGCACACCTGTAATCACAGCTACTTGGCAAGCTGAGGCAGGAGAATGGCTTGAACACGGGGGGCAGAAGTTGCAGTGAGCCAAGATCGTGCCATCGTACTCTAGCCTGGACAACAAAAGTAGAACTCTGTTTGCCTCAAAAAAAAAAAAAAAATACACAGAGACAGACCCAGCCTCTGAACCCAGCTAGGCCTCAGTTTCTCATCTGTAGAAAGGGGAGAGCAGCCATGATGTGGTTAGTGCAGGACCTGGTAAGAGATGCCAAACACACAGTGTGGCTCGGCACCTGCAACTCACCTGACAAAGTACATGAGTCCATTCAGAGTCACAGTCTTGGGGGCGAAGGACCAGGGCGGGAGCTGGCCACAGTCCACCAGCGACCACAGGTCAGTGTTGGGGTCATAGCACTGCATCACCATGGTCTCCTTGCCGGCCAGGGAGCCGATGGCATAGAGCCGGCCGCGGCAGGCGGTGGTGGAGCAGTTGTCCATGGGATAGGTCATGGGCTGCAGGGCCTCCCAGGAGTCGGTGGTGTGGTCATAGCGCTCAGTGCTGTCAGCAGCCACCACGTACAGCAGTCCATCCAGCACAGAGGAGCTGTGGTACTCGCGGGCCTTCAGCATGGGTGCCACCTCCGTCCACTCATTCACGCTTGAGTTGTACCTCCACACGCAGTCATAGAGCCGGGAGCCATCGGACCCACCTGCCAGGGTGCATGACGGGCAGGTTCAGCCCACTCGAGGCGAGTCACCCCTCTGCACCCTCCTGAACTTCCGAGAGGGCCTCTCCCTTGGGAGGAATTTTAATGTCACTGGGCTTCACCTCAGACACACGTCCTCTCCCCAAAGCCGAGGCCACATGCTGTGGCTAAGACAGAGCACATGCTGAGCACTGCCAACGAGACAACCACCGCCAATCCTCTACCAAAGGTCCCGGGTGCAATGCCGAAGAATCTGGCAGCCTCCTCTGGACACCTCAGCTGACCAGAGCACCCGGCCGTGGAACAGCTCTGCTGAGGAGCCACAGAGCATGTCTGCAGGGTGCACAGGAACTTGCTCACTAAGTCCTAGGGTTCCTGGGCACCCTCCAAACAAGGTTCTGCCAGGACTAGAAGAGCAGAAGCCCACATCCTCCTATAAGCAAGAGACCTAACAACATACAGCCCACTTCTTGATTCTGGTACAGGTTACAAAGCTGTGTTTTGTTTAGGAAAATCCATCAAGCTGCGTTTAGTACAATTTGTATACTCTTCCGCCTGAATTACTTTTTTTTTTTTTTTTGATGCAGTCTTGCTGCCACCCAGGCTGGAAGGCAGTGGCATGATCCCAGCTCACTGCAACCTCCACCTCCTGGGCTCAAGCAATCCTCCCACCTCAGCCTCCCGAGTAGGTGGTACACACTGCCACACTGGGCTAATTTATGTATTTTTTGTTGAGACGGGGTTTTGCCATGCTGCCCAGGCCAGTCTTAAACTCCTGAGCTCAAGAGATCCACCCACCTTGATCTCCCAAAGTGCTGGGATTACTGATGTGAGCTACTGCACCCGGCCCTCTATTTTGAATTTCAATAAAAATGCTACTAGGTGTAATCATAAATTACACCAGGTCTATCAGGGCTGTTAGAAACCCCAGAACATGAAGGAACCCCAAGAATCCTGGGGCTGCACCCCTTGGCCTCCCAGACTGGCGCCACCAGGACTGAGCAGACAGGACATTCTGTCTCACAGCCCTGAGCTCTAAAGGAAGAGCAAGTTCTTGTTCTTAGGAAGTGCACTCTGCCGGCCTCCTCCCTTCCATGGAGCTGTGTGAAAGGCAGCTGAATGGAATGACCCAACCACCTGCCTAAACCCAGGGGATTAACTGCTCTGCTGAGACATTTATGGAAGGGTGTGCAGAAAGCTGGGGCGAGTCTGACTAGTTCTGGGAAGCAATTCTCTGCTCGAAGACATTGGTCAGACTTTGGGGAGAGGGGAGGGACACAGTCTCCGGTCAGCTTGGGGACAACCTCAGATTGGAAAGAGGAACCGACTCTGGCAGATTCCAGCAGAGGCTGGACTCGGAGCTGCAGGGCAAGGGAGCTGTGTCCACAGAGCCCAGCAACTGTCCCATTTGACAGCTCAGAGTCCCACTGGAACTCAGGGCACGTCCCAGAGTAGGCTCTCTGGCGAACATGCAAGGCTGGGCACAGCAGCTGTGACATCCCAGTCCCCACCTCCTTGCCTGATAACTGCCTCACATGCCTGCTTGGTGGGTTCTTTCCTTATATAGCAGTTACAGAAACCGCCCTTCCTCACCCCGGGGAAGGAGGTAGCCTAGTGTTTAAACTGGGATTTATCTTCAATAAAAACTGCAGGAGAAGCCCAAACCCAGGCGGCCTGGGACCCGCCTACCATGACTCGGCAGTGTTTTGGGGCTTGTGCCAAACAACTGAAGAAAATCTCTAACATGTGACCATGTTTACAGTCTCTGGGGAGGTCAGCCTAAACACCATGTGACCACAGTACAGCGCCTAGGTGCAAACCCAAGGGAACCGTGTCACCGGTGACAAAGAGTGAGTCAGGGGGCCGGGGTGGCTGAGCAGGGAGGGCGACATTCCCCTGCTGGGGGAGAACAGATGCCTCACCACCGGGCGTCAGCCTCCTGCCTGTCCCTAGATTCCTTAAGGAGAAAAAGAAAACAGCCATTGTGCGGAGTGAATGCCCCAGTATCTTCCAACCAAGTGGGGAGGCACCTTCGGGGCACGGAGTTGGCTCAGCCCGGCGCCCCGGCCGCACGGGTCACAGAGACTCACAAGCAATTACTTGTCCCGGCTCACACAAGGGGCGATACTTTCCAAGGATGATACTTGAAAAGTATCGCCCAGAGAAATGCAGTCACCCGGGCCCCAGCTTGGACTCAGGTGCGGCCCTAAGATTCCAGGCTCTGTGCGTTTCTCCTGCGGGTAGCCAGGCTCCCGCACCGGTGAGGCTCCACCTCAGAGAGCCTGCCCAGCCCTCGGCCCACTCACCCGTCACGTAGATGTCATTGCCCAGCGCCACGATGCTGTAACCCCCGCCTAGGTGGTCTGGGAATTCGGCTAGGTAGCGCCACTGGCCCGTCTGCGGGTTGTAGCAGTCGACAGTGACCAGCTCGTCGCAGTCCTGGTCGCAGCCTCCCACGAGCACGAGGATCTCGGCGAGGCCAGTGGAGGGGCGAGGACGCATTCGGGGGCAGGGCCCGCGGTCGTGGCGGTCATAGCGCGCTGCCTGGAAGTCGCGCGCCTCGCGCAGGAGGCGCAGGCAGGGAGGGCAGCGCGCCACCAGCGGCTCAGCCTCGACGTGTGCCAGCAGGTAGAAGCGTCGCACGAAGGGCAGGCGCACGGCCTCCAGCAGCTGCGGCCAGTGTGCGGCGCGGCGCGGCGGGTCGGCGCGGACCCAGCGCAGCGCCAGCTGGTAGTCCCGCAGGTAGCGCAGCAAGCGTGCCAGCGGCAGCCGCTCCAGCTGCTCCGCGCCCAGCTCGCCCACGTGGCGCAGGATGAAGCGCTGCGCCGNCCAGCAGGTAGAAGCGTCGCACGAAGGGCAGGCGCACGGCCTCCAGCAGCTGCGGCCAGTGTGCGGCGCGGCGCGGCGGGTCGGCGCGGACCCAGGGCACGCACAGCCCGTCGTCCCGCAGGTAGCGCAGCAAGCGTGCCAGCGGCAGCCGCTCCAGCTGCTCCGCGCCCAGCTCGCCCACGTGGCGCAGGATGAAGCGCTGCGCCGCGCTCGCCAACCCCGCGCAGCTGAAGGCCTCGGCGAAGTCCTGCATGTCCAGGCAGTTAGCCAGGTCCAGCTGCTGCTGCAGGAAGGCGCCGCAAGCCTCCTTCACGGCCGGGAACTGCAGCAGGTCGGCGGCGCGCAGCAGCGGCTCGGCGTTGTCGCCGCTCACGGCCACGCGGCCCGTGTAGCTGAAGTCCAGCAGCAGCTGTAGCATGTCGGGCGGTACTCCGTGCAGGCGCACCCGCTCGGCGCGGCTCTCGCGCAGCTGCCCGGCGAACATGGCGCGGAAGTAGGGGCTGGCGGCGGCCAGCACAGCGCGGTGCGCCGGGAAGTCGCGCCCGCCTGCCGCCTCCAGGGTCACGTCCAGGAACTTGCGCTCGGCGCGGAGCTGGCTCAGGCCGCGCAGCAGGCTGAGGGCGTGCGCGGGGTCCGAGAAGGGCAGCACGGCCAGGGGCGCCGGCCGCTCCATGGCGCTTTCGCTCGAGACTCGGAGACACCGCGGCCGGGGCCTGCGGAGAGACGCGGCGCGCCTGGTACCGCTGCTATAAATAGGGCGGGGCGCCGCGGCCCCTTGGGGAGCGGGACTGGCAGGGAGAGGCGGGGCGTCGCCGACACCACCCCCTTAACTCCTCCGTGCCCGGCGCCACCGCCCCGAGCGCGGGCTTGCCTGCCCCCCACGCGGCGCCCGCCCCCGGCTCCGCAGGGTGAATCACCGCGGTCCTCGCCGCGGTCCCTCCCTCCGCCCTTCCGGGTCTCCCCGCGGACTCCCGTGCCGGGGACGGCGAGTGACAAGTGCCAGCTCCGTGGGCAGCCCAGCCGCGCGCCGGGACCGGGCTCCTCCCGGGGTTGCCTATGACCCATCCGGCCCGGCCACTGAACCCAACCCGGGGGAGGCGAGCTCGGCCCTGAAACCGAAGCCACCCCTCCTTTCGCGCCAGACTTCCCAAGGGCGCCGGCCCAGGTCCCGGGGCGGCTGGGTACAATGGCTTTTTGTTTTGCTTTTTGAGTTCCACTGGTTTCAAGGGTTGCTAGTTAACCCTGTCACCGGATACAAAGGATAGGCTTTTTACCATTCTGAACCAAAGCAAGAACGCGTATCAAGTTTTTCGGTGACGTTTTTTCTTAGCGCATTTATAAGCGATCCGGAGCCGGATTCCAGGAGTCGGCCCCACTCCTGTGTTCCTGCAGGAGCTTCTAACTCAGCCATAGTGGCGTTCACTTTAGTTGGCTTCAGGCGTAGTTACAGTTTCCGAGCCTGCAGCGACGCTGCGGGCTCCTGGGCTGCCCGTCCCAGGGGCTCCCGGGCCTCCCTGCAGCAGCTGCTCAGACTCCATGAGGGGGCCCTGGGGGGTCAGAGAGCGAGGGCTCAAAGTCAGATGGGAGACCGCCTTGAAACTAGGAGATGACGCCACTCAGCACAGTCTGGTCCACTTGTACTGAGATGCGGGAATGGTGAAAAGAGAAATTACCCTTATTTTAGTTCCAATAGACACAGCACCACTTTGAATGTCACTGTAGGGAAAAAAGAGCCCTCCCTTGGTTTTTCAGAGGAAGGCAGGCTTTGGTGAGTTTTAAGAGACCCCCTCCTTCACTTCCAGGACTGCTGCTTTGTACGGGACACTTGGGTTTGTGCTATTTTCCAGCCCCCGCTACACCTGGTGGGGCCTTTGAGAACGCATTCCTGAGAAAGGAGCCCGCCCACGTGGGTCCCAGGACAGGCTGGGCACCAGGACAGGCTGGGCACATGGAAGCTGGCCGTCATTCCCTGGTGCCAGGGAGGTCTAGGTCCCGGAGCCCTTCCAGAAGACATTTTGTTTTTATTCCACCTCTGAAATGAGAACCGCAGGTTTTCTCTTCTGCTTGAGAGTTTTACGACATTTTGCCCTGAGAATGCATCTGGTCTGAATTTCAGGGTGAGCATGGGAAGTACAGGCCCAAGTGAGAAGACATTCAGGTACCCAGGCGGGCTGCCTCTTGCCCATAGAAGGACTGTTCACACAGCTATTCAAGGCAGCAGCAGCATTCCTGGGCCCAGGAGCAGGGCCAATAGCTTCCTCCCACAGGCGTAGTGACAAGAAAGGCCGAATAGCCAGGAAGTGGAATGTTTGTAGGGAAAGGAACTCTCGTCCCCCAGGTCAGCTTACCCACCTTGCATAAGTCCAATAATTAAGTCAATAAGGTTGCCATAGTTGAGGACTGAGTATGCTTTTTTTGTATTCCCAACAGGGGTTATTTTTAAACATCGTTTCAGTGTATGTAGCTTTGAAGAATAATGATGTATTTATTGAAATGGAAAGATGTTCAAGCTATGAAGTGGAAAGTCAGATTACTCATCCTATGACCCAATTTGTTCTATGTATTCATATGCCTAAAACATTTTGTGAAGTTAACATTACAGCGGTGGCTCACACCTGTAATCCCAGCACTTTGGGAGGCCGAGGTGGGTGGATCACCTGAGGCTGAGAGTTCGAGACCAGCCTGGCCAACATGGCAAAAAACTGTCTCTACTAAAAATAAAACAAATTAGCTGGGGGTGGTGGTGCAAGCCTATAATCTCAGCTGAGGCATGAGAAGTGCTTGAACCGAGAGGTGGAGGTTGCAGTGAGCTGAGATTACGCCACTGCACTCCAGCCTGGGTGACACAGTGAGACTCCATCTCAAAAAACAAAAAACAAAACCATTTTCTCTAGGTGGTTAGGTTCATTTATTTTTTTTGCTTGCCTGCATTCTCTTTCTGTACTACATGTACATTATCTGTTAAAGAAATAATTCAAGTTCAAAATAAAATTAAGAATTCATATCTTGAGAGAAGTATTTCATTGATAACCCGCGTCTCCCAGTAAGCATGTGAAACCATGTGTATATGTGTGTGTGTGTGTGTGTGTATATATATATATATATAGCTAAGTTAAGAAAGGAATGTGGAGAGAAAAGACAGGAACAGATTTAGACCCATCAGCTGTGTTAGGAATTTTGGATAACCTGCTAACCCAGGCATGCTATTTAGCTCTTTTGTTTTTAGGGGTGGGAAAGGCAGAGTGGGAGCAGTGGAACAATGACAGCTCACTGTCACCTTGAACTCCTGGGCTCATGTGATTTTCCCACTTCAGCCTCCCAAGTAGCTGAGACTACAGGTGCATGCCACTACGCCTAATTTGAAAACTTTTTGTTGAGACTCAAAATATTGGGTCTCACTATGTTGCCCAGGCTGGTCTCAAACTCCTGATATCAAGCAGTCCTCTTGCTTCAGCCTCCCAGAGGACTGGGATTCCAGGTGTGAACCATCCTGCCTGTCCTATTTCCTCTTTTTGCTTGTCAATCTCATGAGTTCAAATGGGAATGTGAGAAACTCATTCACCTCAGAATGACAAAGTTGTTCTTGTTGTCAGCATTCTATTTAAGGTGATCTGAAGGCCCACAGGATCATCCACCACACTGACGTGGTGGAAACACTATTGTTTGGTGAGGAAGATGTTAACTCTGTCAAGCAAGCAGTAGTTTGTGGGAAAATACTTGTATTTACAGGTTAAACTTCAGTCATGAAAACTTACCTCTTCTAAAATTATGAAAATGGGCCAGGAGAGGTGACTAACACCTGTAATCCCAGCACTTTGGGAGGACACGGTCAGGAGTTTGAGACCAGCCTGGCTAACATGGCAAAACCCCATCTCTATGAAAAATAAAAAAAATAGCCAGGCATGGTGGCTGGTGCCTGTAATCTCAGCTACTTGGGCGGCTGAGGCAGGAGAATTGCTTAAACCCCGGAGAGAAGGAGGTTGCAGTTAGCCTAGATTGCGCCACTGCACTCCAGCCTGGACAACAGAGTTAAGACTCCATCTCGAAAAAAAATTAAAATCATGAAAATGGTCATTCCCTAAGTAATTTAAGACAATGTGATTTACCCGAACATCCTGAGGCTAAAAATAAAAAAGAAAAAGTGATTTAATATGTGATGTGATTTTAAAAATAATGGTATTATTTAAAAAAAAAAAACAACAATTTTGATATTTATTTATTTATTTATTTATTTATTTATTTTGAGACGGAGTCTCGCTTTGTTGCCAGGCTGGAGTGCAGTGGCGAGATCTTGGTTCACTGCAACCTCTGCCTCCCAGGTTCAAGCGATTCTCCTGCCTCACCTTTCTGAATAGCTGGGACTACAGGTGTCCACAACCATGCCCAGCTACTTTTTGTATTTTTAGTAGAGACGGGGTTTCACCATTGCAGTGACCCGAGATTGCCCCACTGTACTATAACTTGGCGACAGAGCCAGACTCCATCTCAAAAAA